CAGTACACAGGGATGATGTATGGGCTGGGAATGTGTGTGTGGGGGGGTTCCTTCATTCCTTCCCCCTTCCCAAAAGGCAGGTAAGTGGCTGCTGCTGGTTAAGGAGGGAGCAAGGGATTGTGAGATTGGCTGGGAAACTTACTGAACGTTGAAAATAAAATTCACATGTCCAAAGCAGCAACCAGTAGCACTGCCTTCCTCAAATTTATTCCCTCTAGAGTTAGGGTTCCCAGATTTTGGATGCATTCTGTAAGTTAGATCGTTTGAACTACTTCGGTTCAAAAATTCTTGCCCTATTATGCACCCCAGGGTAAAGGTCATGACAAAAGTTTTAATATTATATAGAGTCATTACGTGAAATGAGTCATAAAATTAATAAATATAAGGTGAGATCCCACATTGCTAGTTAGTATATGGCCAACAAACGTGAATATCATCTAGACACATTATTCTACTTTAAGTCTCTTAAAACAAAAATCATGAATTCCATGAAATTTAGCTTTTATTGTACAAAATATATTTGGAAACACATATACACAGATGCCCATTAATAAATTCAGTCAAGATCAGTTACCAAGATAACAGATTGTTTTACCCAACACTAAATTTGTTTTTATTTATTCATAGTTTCTTATAGAAATGATTTCACACATAGATAAAGCAAAATTTCTTTTTAAATGATACTATAGAAATACTTTACTTACAAAGAAAAATCTAGAAATTGGACTTTGGCAGTACAATTCCAAAGGACATTACATTGGTAAATCACTGAGATTGGCAACTTAATGATTATCCTTCCCCAAAGTACAAATTAATAATTGCTAAAGACAACCAGCTTATAAAAATACTGCTTAAGTTACATCTAATTTATTCCAATTCTACCACATAAAGATATAGAAATGTCAAAAATAGACTTACAGTAAGTGCATTGTGAAGTAAAACTTTAAAAAAATCCCTTTGAAGTATGAAAAGCATTTTAGTGAAACATATTTTGTCACAAATAAGGAAGAAACTTAACCTTAAAAAAATTCCCCCACTGTTTAACAGTTAGCCACTGTTGTAATAGCTAAGTATGTTAATGAGGATTAGCGAAACTGATATGAAATTTCTGCTTTTATCCAATATAAAACATATTACAACACCCAAATGGATAGTCTATATGATTACTATTACCACAAACATAGGGTTTAACTATCTTCATTTCCTCAATTACATATTAAAAATGTGTAATTTGATTAGCAGACAAAAATGAGATGATTAGAGTACATCTGCAACATTGCTTTTTTTGGCAGAAGATTCCTAGACAGTATGACTTTAAAAAAAGGATACCAAAAAGGAAGAACAAAAAAGACAGAATTTATTAATTTATTAATGTTCTGTGTTTCTGTAACTAAGACACTTTAGAAATTAAATGACATTCTCAAATGTTATAAACAGAACACAATATTCTAAAGCAATACAAAAAATCGGGGGGGGGGGGGGGAGAGAACAAGTATTAATGTTTATTGCAGTTACCACAGGCATCTTAATTTCATATGAATTTCTGAAACTGGAATTTTAAAGCTTAATATCAAAATTTGAAACTTCTAACTTTGCTTTGTGGATAACTAATAAAAATAGGTATCAACCTCCTAGAAGAGTGTACAATTATGTACACTTACCTGCCTTGTAGAGTTAATCCCTATCTTTTATTTAATCATCATTATATATCATTATATTAAAGGATATTTCTCATCTCATTTTGTCCACAAAATTCTACAATCCTACAACCTTCTGAATTCAGGCAAAAAGATATTTAAGATCATCTGCGTATACAATACTTGTCTATCACTCCTTAACTCAGTGCTTCTCAACGTTTGTGTGACGGCAACCCCCGTCACACAAACGTTCTGTGCATGCGCGGCCCCTGCCCCCATGTGCAATGCGCGACACACGTGCACGGCGCTGCCCCCATGTGCGACGCGCATGCACAGCACTGCCCCCATGCGCGGCGCGTGTACGCGCCACCACCCCCATGCGCGGCGCACATGTGCGGCGCCGCAAAAAATGGCGGATCGCCGCCTTTGGCGACCCCCGAAAAATGGGCGATCGACCCCAAATGGGGTCGCGACCCATAGGTTGAGAACCGCTGCCTTAACTGAAGCATGTTTCTTGGGATTGTATCACTAGTGTAAAATGCATTTGATTTAAGGAGCTGCAGACATGTTTTTTTTTTTTTTTACCTTTGAATCTATATAGCCCTAGTTTTAGACTGTTAATACACAAAACCCAGGGAAGCATGGTAAATTTTTACCAAATGAAAATTGTCAGACAATGGACTATAATGTTGTATAATGAACATAAAAGAACCATATAATCATAATATCCACCCAACCACTTCACTATGCAGAGTTGGCATGGAATACTCCGAAGAAAATCAAAGGAGCTTGGAAACAAATCTCTATAGCAGTGCCTGCCCTCTGGAATGAGGTTCCCACAAACCCAAACTGCCCTCAGTTACTCAAAAGAGCAGTGATACCCTAGCTCTTCACCATCTAGGCTTTTGGAGAAGAGAATGAGACTCCTTACATTATTCCATTGGGTCTATCACTCTTTCCATCTTTTATTGATTTTATTGTAATTTCTTGGCTGCTGTGAGCCACTTCGAGTCACTGGGAGTTGAGCAGCATACAAGTGTAGTAAATTATTATATTTATAATGCTGAGGACTATTTGGATGATACATGTTAATGGTAGAAATAATAGTGTAGTCTCAACCAGCAGTTTGTATAAATAAAAAATAACCAATATTTGCAGAAAGTTCTATTAAACCAGCTGGCATTTGCCACAGGTTAACAAAGCAAAACTGAAACTATTCTGGATAGCTTGCATTTCACTGAAACAAAACTCAACACAGATTCAAGTATTTTGGCCATAGAAACTAGCAAAGGAACAAACCTCTTAATCTGAAAAATGCTGTGCAACCACTATTATGACCCAGCAAAGAAATACTGAAAATGTAACTCTTTGCTATTATATTTATTTTTTATTTATTAGATTTGTGTGTCGTCCATCTCTCCTAGAGGCGACTCTATTATATAGAGGTCATAATAAAATCCTGCAACACACAAACATGACATAGTGGTTTCTATAGCTCATATCTCCTTTTGATGTCTCTAATTCACCTGAAATATTTCCAACTCATCCATAAAGCTCAAAATCTCTCCTTCCTACCTAGCACCTTTTGCTGCTTAGATTGCAGAGGTCTCTCATAATTATAAGTCACATGGTGATCATATAGTCAATGCCCACCTCTTTCTCTTACAAACATGGGTTGGGAGACATGTGGTCCACAATCAATTTAAAATTAATGCCTTATATCTGTCATTTCCCTTGCACTACCACCAAATATTTAAAAGCAATCTTTGGGCAATCTCTTAAATAAAATGCAACCATAACAGAAAATGCACTGAAGTCTCAGCAATCCTAATACCTCTAGTGATTTAACCCTCACTTCAAATTTCAGCAATATATTCTAAAGTTATGCACTGGAATCTAGTGGTTTAATATATTTAGTCAACTGGTTCTACTTCAATATAATCTCTATCAACTGCAACTTCTCCGGATTTCAGGCAGGAAATTTTCCAAACCACACTTCTTACATGTAAAGACTATGCATCACTTGCTTATTATTCTTTCTGTAAAATACAAGGACTTTAGATGAGTAGTTTTAGTTGACCAAACCTTAGCCACATTATTTGCAAGTATATAGAAACTGAGTATCTGACCAACAGACTTCGCTCTGAACAAAGGACACTCCCATATTTTTCTGACAAGATGCAAGATTTTAGCATTTGTTTAAGTAGATATAATTTGAAAACATAGATATAATTTGACGTAGATATAATTTGAAAACATTTAAATGTATCTAAAAGTTCTAAATTAAATAAAGGTGATGTTAGTATTGGACACCCTAGGAATATATAAATTATAGGTATCTTTATTGTCCCTAAACAGAACAACAAACTTTCATCTGCTGGAAATTCTCTGCCTTAAAAACTCTGTATAATCTTTATTATATACATTATTTCTTCTAAATATAAAATGTTTTCAACCCGCCTGCTATTTTTTATAAATAACTCAAGGCAGTGAAAATATCTAATATTCCTTCCTCCAAAGTTATTCAGCTATCTTTCAAGCCTAAGATGGACCCAGAACTTTTAGTTTCTAGCCTTAACCACCAGACCAAATTGGCCCTCTATCTTCTATTTATCACTTCGGTAATAAAAAAATTCAGGATTTACGTGAGTAAATAAACAAAATATATAAATACTTTCAGAAAGTCTACTTCCGGGTTACAGCACATGCCTTATGTCTTATTCTATACTATAAACTCTAATTTCTATTTAGCATATTAGTTTACATTAGTTACAAATTCATTTGTCAGTGTTAAAACAGCTGTCTTAACATAGGATGGTATGGTATAAACTGAGGACATGATGGAGAAAAGAAGAATGAAATCAATTATTACCATTTATTACACACATGCTTTACAAGTAGACCTGGAGCTTGCTTATCACAAATACAAATGGCAACTAGCTAATGAGGGAGTAATAGGTATGACTATTCACATTTAGATTAGATTGAATAACAATACTCATTTGAACTCTTATGTTTTTTAGACAAATTGGAACTCAGAAGCAACACTAAACTTTATAAGTAACAACGTTATTCCAAATAGCATTATTAATCTGGCATTGTATTATGATAGATGTCTACCACCTAATGCAGGGGTGTCAAATTGCTCGCCCATGGGCCGGATGCGTCACACCATTACCGGCAATGGGAAAAAAGTCACATGATATCGCAAGTTTGACACCCGTGACCTAATGCATTGAAAGTAGTTAGTTAGATACAACAGATCACATAAGACCAGGGTACAATGATTAGAAAAAAAAAAGAGCCACATGAGATCCACATCTTAAAGAATTATGTTACCAATCAATCAAAAAAAGTCTCTACCTTCACATTGGTTTCTTGGAAGGATCTTCCACCTTGTTTTTATCACATTTTCCAAGATCTGCAGGCCATAATACTGAAAATTGGAGAAGTGAAATATGTGAATATACTGGAGTTAACAACAACTTTCAGGATTCTCATTTGAGCTGATATCATTCATACTTTATTAAGATTATGTTGATCAAAAACAAATCTATCACCCATTTACTAGTTTTTCCCATGCATTTTCCTTTGCTAGTCTAAAGTCCTGCTGCTTGGTCATGATCACACCAAAGGGGAGCAAATAAAAAATGTTTGGGAAGCCAAATTAATTATCTTTAGGGAAGAAAATCAGCAGGCAACAAAAATCATGGCCTAAATGACTATTTATAGCTTCCAAATATACAGCCAGGTTTAGCCACTTGGGTGTTTATGGGCTTTCTGTCATTTGAATTGTTAAGACTGGGGCTTAACATTAAATCCAGTAACACTTCAGAAAAATGTGCTTCCTAAGAATTAATTGGTGTGTTTCTTAAAGAACAGCAAGACAATGCAGGTTTATTTCAAGGTACAATAATTTCTCCCCTATAACAGCCATATCTATAGTTTCAATATTAACTTTTGTATTCAGTCAAAAGTTCACCATTTCCATATGTACCTTGAGGTTGTTTTACCTTCCAGGTAAGCCTGCCAACACATGTTTTGAAAGCAATGCATTTGTAGGGAATGAAAATTCTTCAACCCATTTTATTCCTTTTATCTCAGCATAAAAATATTCAATATGACCTCTATTATAACTTGCATAGAAATAGAAATATATTTAAAGAAATAGCACAGGAGAGGAGGAAAAGGGGTCAAAGAGTTGCTGACAGTGAGAAGATGGGAGGCAGTACCTGAAAGGCAAAATTAGGCTTCAGTGACAAGATGGCTGGTCAAGATTTGGTCAAGAATAAAAAGTTCTTCAAGACTGTTAGTGTCTATACAGAATAGGGTAATTTTAATTTCAGCCAGAGGTATCATGTAAGATCATTTTAAATGAATAGCACAATGTAGACTGTCCCAAACTACACTGTGCTTCCTGCAAAAGTTTTTGAGACTTGTGTTAGCTTTTTCTGCATTTTTCCCTCAAAGTTTATTGTTTAACCTCTTTCAGAACTAATAGGCTATTCCACTTCTAGTGCAGAAGGTGGTAAAACATTTTAAATTTATAGCTGCAATCTAAAGTACTTTAGTTATCTATGAATGTTAAGAAAACACATCTAGAGCAGTGGAGTGTTGCTTGCTGTTTCTTCAGCAGGTCTCTCAGATTAAAAAAGAAAGAAAAAACACAACTACATCTAAAAATGAACAGCAGGTTGCTTTCTTGGCAATCAGAATTGATGCCAAAGAAACAGCAAGCAAATCTCTAGCAATTTGCAAGTCTCTTATTTCTTCTTTCTATTCCACAATGCATGCAACTTCTTTGTACTGCAGCCTAAATCTTAAATGAACAAACATTTCTATTGAACAGTGCTGGCATTCATGAAATAACAGCATCCAGAGCAGCCAAAGCACTAGACATGAACAACAGAGTGTCATGACAAGACTTCACCTGTTACGATGATTCCCTCTAATCAAAATTGTACAGTAGATACCAGAGCAAGTATCTTTCTTGTTTTAATATTAGTTCCACTTCTCTTAAGACTAACTGGTTTCCAACATTAATTTCTGTCCCCGGAGAAGATACCCATCAGTGTAGCTGGTTACAGATCTAGGAGTTTCAGAAACAAGTTTTCAAATATTGTCTACCACAGAGATACACAAAAAGCTGAACAGTTTTTACAGCTCAAAAGTATAGCCACCTCATTGTCATCCTGCAGCAAGATCCTAGAGACACAAAATGGCAGGAAGCATTGCTTTCTTCTTACTGATACAAAAAGATGCTTAGAATATCTCATGAATAGACTTCTGTCTCCCAAAATTTTACCTAATTGTCTGGGGCAATAAGGGCGCACAAATATGAGGTTATTGTCACACTACTCCATTCCACTGAACCCGCTTGACAATTGTGAGTAATTATCCATATAAAGCATGGGTACTTAGCTAAGGCATCCCCTCAAAGTATATATAACTGATCCAACACTAAGGACTTATTTACAAGAAAATTATAAGCCCCTTTCTGGCTGACATGATTAATGCAACTTTAGTTCAAATTATTCTGAAAAGTCCACAAGACTATATTTTCATGTAGCTTGGAGAATGCTACTAGTCTCTTTCACAAATGCATGTTTAGTTACATATATGCAAAGCAGGGCAAGCAAAAAGGCAAGCATGTTTTTCTTTATTTGTGTTGTGCAAGAATTTACAGTTAGTTCTAAAAATTAACAGAACTGGGGGTTTTTTGAGTAAAAAAACTCCCAATGCCTACAATCTCTTTAAAAAAGTTCTCAGGGCTACCTACAAAAATTTATGAACATAAAATTGCTAGCTGTGAAACATACTCTACTGTATGTTTCTCCAGGTCTCAAAAACATTTTCAAAATAAATGATAAAATGAAATTACAAAGAATGGGACAGAAATAGAAGATTGACAAAATAATGTATCATGATCCCCATGGCAGAAATTTTTATGGGTCACTTATTCAATGTACCAACCCATTCCCTCCCACCACCCAAGAAACCAAAACAAGGAAAAAAAGCAATTGATGAACAGAATTCAGTTAAAGGGAATCAAAAGGGTAGACCTTGTGGAGGCCTGCCGTCAAAGCCTAGCTGTGTCAGTTGCACAGGAAGACACCCCTTTTCTTCCTATTACAAGCAATCAACATAATGGAACATTATGATTAATATCAGGTAGTGTTAACAGCTTTAAGAAAAAAAAATGACTGCATAAAAGCCAAATGTCATAGTGCATAAATTTAGCACCAAATCATTTGCAATTTATGTAAATTGAAGAATTCTTTACCTGTTGCTTTCTTTCTGTTCCTCTAATCATCTCATTTTTCACAAGACAAATTTGTGTTTTAAAAAATACTGTTGATAAATCAACTTAAACATTAGTAATGTCTGTGAGTATAAAAAGCAAAGTTTACCAGGCAAGCAAACAGGCAAACATGGTTACTTAAATTTAGTACTTTGAGGAAGTTCTTAACCTTGCCCTAAAATTTACGAAGCCTTTTTTAAAAAATAAGACTTTGATAAATATCATCCAAATTCTGTAGGAACTATTTGGAGCATGGCTGTACATTATTTAGAACAAGGTATAGCAAAGTATATGTGTGTGCACGCAAAGAACATGGCCATGCACATGTTTCTTCAGCTATATGACAACCACTTTAATATGTTTGACAATTTATATTTAAACCTCTAAATTTTCTAGATCAAAAACAACTGCAGAAGGCTGAGAAATGTCCATTACAGCCAGCCACTATCCTGATGATATGGCTTAACTGTATTATAAGTAAGTATAAATTGTATCCAACAGAAGAAAGTATCTGGGGTGCCTAGCCTGTTTTAAACTATATGGAGTAATACCAATGTAAAAAAAAAAAAAATTGAGGAACATACTTGCCCTCAATTATGTGCATATGGCTTTCATTAATATAAATGAAAGCCAATCACAATCTTAACATGATACAGCTATAAAATGTTATTACTCAAATCTGTTCATATTCAAACCATATTTTTTAACACTAATCCCATGTGACTCAAATTCTCAAGCCTTTTACAAGAAAAAGTAACCAATACCATGGAAATACCATGTGATAGTATAGGGTTAAGTTAAAGAGATTTGCAGGAACAAGCAAAAAAAAAGTAAACAAACACTAAATCTAAAAATTGAGATACCTTCCTCAAAGTCTGAATGGAAGAAAGAAAGAACTCAATTAAAAATCATGTACTTACTTTGGTGTTCATATTCTGAGAGAATTCCAAAATAGTATCAACTCTTGTCCATGCATCAGGGTGTTCCTTTAAGTGAGTCAAGACCTCCTGTGCCATCCTTTGCTAAAAGGTTAGTTACAAATAATTAATATCAAAGTAGCTTGCACAAGTAATTTTGGAATAGTGTTACCTAGTTTTCAAATAGCTGAGACACATGGAATAGCCAAGTTCCAAAAATCACAGATTTTAAGATAGAGGTTTATGCATTCTTCAATATTCTAGTTAGCAAATAAAGTTGCATTAGGAGACTAGTATTTTCTTATAAATGGGGAAACTAATATTTGATTGCATGCATAGCTTTATTAAAGTTCTGAAAAAAATAAACCTCTTAAAACACCCTTCCTGACAAAGAAACATATAGTTCGAAAATCTCTATATTTCTGATTGTAACTTGAAAAGCAAAACTGTGAATATCTATTCACAACACATGTGAGATAGATATGTAACAAGTGCTCTCAAGAAAGACTCAAGCTATGAACCTACAATGTGAATACAAGTAAGTAGCAAAGTAAAGTTTTGCAGCATCTTTACTAACATCTATAGTCAGAGGTCCTAAATACAAAATATAAAAGCATGGATTGCCTCTTGGAGCTATACTGGATATTGTTCTATGACATGACTGAACAATGCAAAGTGTATTTTTAAATATTAATTCCTCCATACCTATTCACTATCATAAATATCAAAGAAGGAAAGAACATTGAGGATAAATCTTCATTAGTCCTGAACATGAACAATGGTGTCAAATAATCAATTAGCAATTGTAAATATGTATGTTTTGCTTGGCTCTGGGCAGCATGCAAATTAGAAACTAAAGAAAAACAGAAAAGAATGATCATCCTGGTGGAACAGACATAAGAATCCTCACAAAGGTAGCCCACTGCCCATCCTAGCCCAAGATTGAGTAAAAAACCAGACCTTCAAGGCCTATTTAAAGCAGAATTGGGGACATTCAATTTTCTAGGTAGATACTGTTCCAGAGGGCACAAAGTGCAACAATGCTGTCTGGGTACATCAAATACTTAATGAATGGTACCCTAAGCATGTGACCGCCTGAGCTTATACCATGGGAGAGATGATTTTTCAAATATCTATGCCTTATACATAAAGGGCCCTCAGAACCAGCATTTTGAATTGCATCTGGAAAACTTAAGGGAAAATAGTACACTCACAAAGCAGAGGTGTAACATGGGTATACTGTGCCAATGCCATATCTGCTTGTATCACCATTCTGGAACTAATTTCCAAGAGCAGTCCCAAATAAAGTGCATAGCAATGTGCACGCATGGAATAACCAAAACCTAGGTGACTATAAGATGGAAAAGATATAATTGACACACAAAGACAGATTTGTGCAAAGGCTTTTCTATCAACAACTGCCCCCCTGCATTTCAAGCAGAAGCCGAGAATCTAGCTTCCTGAACTGCACACCTGTTCCATCTGGGGAAACTGCAATCCCATTCAGAAAAAAAAGGGAAGATCTCTGGATTTTTGAGGGTCAAATATCTATAACACTTTGGTCTTGCTAGGATTGATTTCAAGTCTGTTCCTCTCCATCTGGATCTCCACTGCTTCTAGGAACTGACAAAATCTTTGACAGCCTCATGCAGTCACCAGGGATCAAGATATACAACTGAGCATCATCAATACTGATGATGCCAGGCACTGTGATAACTGATGCCCTCACCTAGTGGCTTTATATAGAGTCCAGGGCACCCAGACTTTTGGACTTCATTTTTTCCCACCTGTCAAGCCAAACAGAAAAGAGACTCCCCCCAATACAGTACCTCCAATGTTTAATCTTAACAGTTGATTTCAAAATCAATTGTATCTAAGACTGTTGAGAGATCTAAGACAGCTAAGATGGTTGTACCATTCTTTTTCAGGCTATGCCAGAGATCATCTATGCCACCTCAATTTTATGTATTGACATGAAACTTAACTGTAGAAAGGCCAGATAATTCATTTCCTCCAGGACTACAGCCAGCCATCTTCTCAATAATTTTCACCCAAATGGGAAAGTTGGAAATTGGGCAAACATTCAGGACTATTGGGTCCAGTGATGATTTCATTAGAGGGATCATTCTCCAAGCCTTCCCTCAGAGAGGAAGTCACCACCAGAGACCCAACCATCTCTTCCAAGGGGCCTTCACTAACCAAGAGGGTCAGAAATCTAACAGGTGGCCAGGTTAACTAACTCAAAATTCATGTCTGTTTCCTTAAAAGTTACAGAATCAAATTCTTCCTAGGTAAGTGAGCAGGAACATGCCTTATTCACTACTGGATCACACAAACAATAAAACTAAAAAGAATGATCACCAAAAGTTTAAGTAAGCTGTTGGCCTTCCAGTTCAAGAACTGTGATGCAATCTGTACTGAACTTGGGCATGAGCAGATTATATTAATAAATGCTATTTCTAAAGTGTTCTATGATTCTATTATTATAGTACAGGTAGCCCTTGACTTAGGCCCATAACTGAGCCCAAAATTTCTGTTAAGTGAGACATTCGTTAAGTGAGTTTTGCCCCATTTTATGACCTTTCTTGCCACAGTTGTTAAGTGAATCACTGCAGTTGATAAGTTAGTAGTCCATTGTTAAATGAATCTGACTTCCCCATTGACTTTGCTTATGAGGTCACAAAAAGTGATCACATGACCTTGGGACCCAGCAACGGTTATAAATATGACCCAATTGCCAAAGCATCTAAATTTTGATCACATGATTATGGGGATCCTGCCAAGGTCATAACTGTGAAAAACACTCAGTCACATTTTTCAGTGCCATTGTAACTTTGAACAGTCAAAAATGAACTGTTGTAAGTTGAGGATTACCTGTATATTATTAATGAAATATTTCTGCTTCCTCAGGGCTCTTTATTATAAGTCAAGTTATAAGGTCATTCTTAAAGAGAACAACTTGTTTTTTCCTTTGCAGATTAGAGTATACTTAAATCCCTTAATGGATATCTAATTTCCAATCATGTACTCTACCTGAGCTCCTTCTCCATGATACAGGCAGTTCACCACATTATCCAACAGATTTATATCCAACTTCTGGTTGAAATCCAGCAGCTGCCGTGCTGCATGGTCTGCTAACATTGTCATAATTGCTGGCATAGATTACTGAAATTGTAAAGAAACAAATCAAGTGAAAAATAATTTTAAAATTTCAAATATTCAGTAAGATATTTTACAAATATTACATTTTAAAGAATTGACTATGAAATATCTGAAAGAACCAAACTTACATTCCAAATTATAATTTTTAAAATGGAATAACAGAGGGATTTCTTCTTAGCAGCAAGGATGGCACGAACACTAGAATGGCTAATGGACAGATTTTGTTTCAAGGCATTGTTAAACCAGGCCATTAGATTAAACCATAACACAGATGGTTTGAACATTGTATGCTGTGTGAATACACTGGTAACTCAGTTACTAATGTGTAACTGAAGACTCTTCAATGTTATATTTAAGTAAAAATATTTTATTTTTACAATAAATCAATAAACATTACACACAAAATTAAATTTGAATGCTAGTAATCTATCCCTATCATAAATATTTGTATTGATAAAGAATGTAATTCATTTTAAATGGAAATAAAGCACAACTTCTGAAAATTAAAGAGGAAATTATTTGCCCTCTCTGTAAGCATACTACTACAATGATCACCAGTTGAAACCTGTTGCCTGTTTAACATATTACCTTTAAGAAACCCATGATTCCCATTCCCAACTTTTAAAGAATTCTACACATATATCTATGCTAGCCCTACCCTATGCAAAAATTCTACTCAAGTTAAATAGGATATGTTCCCAGATATGGGTAATAGCTTTTCTCTGATGCCCACCAGAAATATGGGTTATAATGGCTACTAAATATTGTCATGGATTATACTGATTGATGATGGAATTGCAGCTCAGATCTTGGGATATTAGATTGGAAGAGTGATGTTTATAACTAAGCCCTACTTATGTTCCAGTGGTTCATATTGTTTTGGAAATGATTCCATTAATATTTTCTACTAGAATACATAATATAAATGTATAAAGAAATAATAACTATCAGTGATTATCTGAGGTTGTTTTTAATTTATGGCCGCAATCTCATTCATTCACTCTACAAACCCTTCTATTGAATTCAGCAGGTCTAAACTCCCTTAGGATTGAACTATAAATATCCATAGAGTTCTCATATGGTAAATTGTATATACCTTCTGCTATTGAGAACAAAATTTAACCAAGTACACACCTCCAAATGTGATATGTTTATGTATATCAGATATAGTTCAATCTTTCTATGCTATTGGAAATGACATCTTTAGTATGACAGAGAAGCATTTTCCTCATATCACTGTCTAAAACAAGACAAAATTATACATATTTTTCAATATCTAGTTGCACATTTTTATCAGATATTTAATTCTGTAGTTCTAAGTCTCAATTAGCACTATTTCCATTCCTGGTTATACATTTCCTTGAACAGTTTATATGCACATAGAAACTTTGTAGTGGCACCTACATGCAATTTCCACTTATATTTACTTTTCCTTTACGAAAAATCTATTTTCTTAACTAAGTTTGGTGTAGTGGTCAGGCTAGAAACTGACAGACCATGAGTTCTAGTCCCACCTTAGGCACAAAGTCAGCTGGATAGTCTTGGGCCAGTCACCTTCTCTTAACCCTAGGTAGGAGGCAAAGGCAAATCACTTCTGAAAACCTTGCTAAGGAAACTGCAGGACTACCCAGGCAGTCTCTGGGAACTGGTATGACTGAACAGAAGAAAAAACTTCACTATCACAAGAAATGATGGCTTGTAAGAACCAGTCATATGGTATGATTGCATATTATAAACTTAATGGAATATAAACATTCTTACCACATGGATCTCATTAAAATGACACAGCTGCTTCTAATGGTCAGTACAAAAGGGCAAGGGTAGCTACCTAATCTCTGTAAGATCTAGATACTTTAACATTAATGCTGTATATATTTGCTAATTGCAAAAGGTAAAGTGGAAAAACTCTTTAAATTGCAAGCTTA